AGGGGACAGACTGAGAGACAGACTGAGGGGCAGACTGAGGGCCAGACCGAGGGGCAGACTAAGGAGCAGACTGAGGGACAGACTGAGGGACATACTAAGAAGCAGACTGAGAGACAGACTGAGGGGCAAACTGAGGGACAGACTGAGGGACAGACTGAGGAGCAGACTGAGGGGCAGGCTGAGGGACAGACTGAGGGGCAGACTGAGGGGCAGACTGAGGGGCAGACTGAGGGGCAGACTGAGTTTCCTCTTATTAACATACAATGCTTTTAAGTCTTTACCGTTTGTTAACACAGACAGTGTTCAGATCTAGTTTAGAAGAAATAATGAGATCTGCCAGCACAGTACAGACAGACAGGGTTAATTATGTGGGGGGGGGGGGGGGGAGCTTGGAGCGGTGACTACTTTACAACATACACATCTCTACACTCTCAATATGAACTTAAAGTATCTTTGCCTCTGTGGAGAGAGCTCCTGTATAGTGAATCCTGTCATATTCCTGTCTGAGGGGACAGCGGTATCATAGGCTTTGCTCAAGTGTTTTGCAGTGTCACAGCATTTGCTGGGATCGGTGCGTGCTTCCGTTAAAGTATGTGGTGGCAGCGAACGTTTGGTGTGTAAAGGGTTAACTACGGAGTTAACCAACCCTGGTGACTATTGCTCTCAGTCTGCTGGCCTGAGATTGTGTCCCGTGAGCTGGGAAATCTCGCTGCAGGCTGAGGCTGAGAGTGGTATCGCCACGTCCTTGTGATGCCTACGCTCGGTTCAGAACTGTATATAGTAACGTGTGATTGACCTACAGCAGGTTCGGGCCGGGCGTACCTCACAGCTGGCACATAACAACAGTCCTATTATTGTCCCCCAAAGTGACAATTAAATGGTGTGTGTTGTAAACTAGTCACCGCTCCAAGCTCACTCTCGGGATGGACCACAGTCTCAATACAAATTAGTAACTAAACATGAGATTGTAGTCCATCCCGGGAGTGAGCTTGGAGCGGTGACTACTTCACAACACACACAGGGACCATGTGGAACAGACGTAGCCCCCCTCCAGAAGGAAGGACAGTGTCAGAGACTTGGAGGATCTACAGCCGAGTGATACACAAATAAGATACATTGTTGGTCATAGTTAAGGGACTTGTATTTCTAAGATTTAACTCCGGAGTTTAGTGTCACTTTAAGTTTTGTTCTGGGAATTAATAATGTAACAAATATAAAATTGGTGTTATCCTAATTTGGTTGAAAAAGTGGAAATACGCTTTCCCCTGTGATACACAGGAAGTGATACTTTTTTTGTATTAAAACTCCAGGTAGCAGTCTGCTTTTACATCTGTATTCCATAATATAAAAAAGGATTTTCTTCTGCTAAAAAGTTAATTTACCTAAATGGACCAATCATTTGTTAAAGGAGAATTATGAGGCGAGTGATTTTCACTCACCTCATAATCCAAGCCGACCTGTGACAATGAGACTGTCACAGGTCGGCTCAGTAGAATCGGGAAGTGAGTGAACACATACTGGCGCTCGCTCACTTCCCGATCTATCCGTGCAGAGAGCCGTGACTGTCACTCAAGGCTCCCTGCAGGGATTCCCCCCTCCCCTGTTCGATCCTCCAACGCTGACTGGCGGAACGGACGGGGGAGGGGGCAGGTACAGCTGGCTCTGCCTCTAGATAGGCAGAGCCAGCTGTCACTCGCGCAGCTGGGCGGATCCAGACGGAATTGTCGGGATCTGTTTTGGCTGTGGCGTCTCAGTATACAGAGAGCTGTAGCTCGATATATACTGAGCGTTGGGTGACGGGAGGACGCTAATTTGTGTCCTCCCGTTACCCTTAGGCGAACTATGGGGAAAAGCCCTGACCCCATAGTTCTCCTTTAATGACTCGAGTTCCGGTTGGCACCACACAAAAATGAAAATAAGACAGGTCCCCTTATACAGCCAAGTGATGATAAATTTGACGCCAGTTACTTAGTCAAGTCTTTTTTTTTGCAGAAGAAAGAAAAAGAGAGAGAGAGGAAGCGCACAACAGAGGTAATACACGCTCACTTTTTTGTTTTTTGCTTCTTTGTAATAAAATTGCTCCTGTGAAAAAGTCTGGTATTACCATTCCAACAGATGAGTAAGATTCAGCTTTTACTTTATTGTTTCTTTTAGGGATGTTAGTACACAGATTATATATGGACACTTGTTAAGCCTAACCTATCTGGGGGGGGGGGGGTCATAGGACCATCCGATACTTCTACATTTATATTTTTTCTGTTTATTCCTACAGAATATGAAGATCAACCTCCGGAAAAGATTAGCAGAACCGATAAAGATAAACAGGATTCCAGAAAACCTTCTCATAAATTGGATACCACTACAACATCGCGGCCATCAGAAGGCAAAAGCTCCAGTCATGGTGAGACAAATGACACTTCAGGCTTTATTTCCATTCTTGGGCTGTTTTCTTACATCCAGTTATAAATCTCTCTTTGTGCAGATACAGTTATTTGGGAAAAGGAAACCGAGATGGTATCCGCAAGCAATGTGTCCGATGATTTCCCGGGAAAAATATATCACCAGCAGCATGACACAAGACGAGATTCCAGAGGAGGCTCCGACAAGAGCTCACAGAAAGGTAACACTGGATGATATCTCTTAGAGTGACTCTGATACTTAGTTAGAAAAAAAGTCAAAAAAGTACGACGTGCAACAGAAGAAAGTTTATATCTCTCTGTCCCACCTCCCCAATTCTATGATTGTATTCTACACAAGATCTGGAGGGTTTTTTTTTTTTTTTTAAAGGGAAAAATTGTTACCTTATCTAAGCTTCTATCACACCCTGAAACGTTCACACCTTTCTGTATGTATAAGTACATTGCAAAAATCCATTACAAAAATATGAATCTTCTTTTACATGTAAGGTGCTGCAGAAGAATACAACACAAGTCATGACCTGAGCTCTACTAGGGAACCACAATCCGAAAAGCAAAGTATCACACAAGAAGGTAAGGCAGCCAATCCCCTCCGACAAACCAGTGAAAAGAATTAACAATCCGCCACAAACTTGACATAAGTTCTAACCCCTCACCACTGTATCCAAAATGTATCTTATAGAAATATATACAGTATATTACATTTATTAATATTATTATTATTATTATTGTATCATACAATTACAGTATTTATCTACAGGCTGTCCTGGACTTCATAAGCTTAAAAAATAAACACATTATCACCTGAATATCCAGCTTGCATGTGATAAGTATGTCATAGCTGAACCTCTCTGATTGGTTCCCATTCGTTACTGGGTACCGGAGCTGTCACCCACAGCCATATAGCAGCTGTGCAGTGGTGTTTAAAAGTTGTAGTTTCCTGCAGAATCAGCTGGTCTCCTGAGCACTGGTCCTGATATCTTATTTTAGGGTGGTAAAAGAAACAGGTCACCAGCACTCGTTTAGAATAAATATGTCCTTTTATAATGGACAATTGTGTCACTACAATCAACAGAGCCGACGTTTCGGGGCCGCACAGGGTCCCTTCGTCAAGGCAGTAAAATTGTGACCTGTTTCTTTTACTTCGTATTTTGCACGGTGCCATCCGTGATAGTCATTGCGAGCACCACCGTTCTTATTTGGCCAGGACTGCTGTAAGGTGTGCGGAGAGGACCCCCACCACCTGAAAACTTATTTTAGGGTGGCACTTTACCCGTGTAGGGTCCTATTTAGCGACCCTTATGTGTGCTAGTAAGCTGCGTGTGTCTGCAAAAACACACAATCATAGTAAGACGAGACACTCCCCTCCCCCATTCTCTAAGCTATTAAATGGATGGCTGCTGGAGACTGCTCTGTCTTGTGATCTTGTACTAGATCAGGAGTTCAGGGCAGCGGAGCTGAGAGAGTTGGAGCTGTTTAGAGACACGATGGCTGTAAGTGCATGGACAAAACTGTAAGGAAATACTTTGCTGGGTGACGTACATTTGTTTGATCTGGATTCATTATTAAAAAAATGGGAGTTTAATATTTCTTTTACCCTTACCATGTGAGGAGGCCCCACTGCAAGTTTATTTTTTTTAGCTTTAAGAATGATAAACAAAGTATCTAAAAAAAGAAGCTCTACAGAAAAAAAAACATTCAAAATACCTATATCTTGAATGACAGAGATAGCCAATCAGCAATCTCCCAAGATTCCCCACATCAGCAGATACCAGTGCTTTAGCATTGGTCACCTGATCAGCCCCCAAACGTAGCCTAGGTTCCCAATGGGTAACTTGTCCAGCATAATGCTGAGCACCATAGTTGTTGAATTTATTTTTTCAGCAGAGGCCTTCCTTAACTAGGAAACCTGTAATAGTTTAATGATATATTATCTCCAACCCGTCATTCATAGGTGACAGAAATTCATACAACAGCATACAAAGACTGCAAGAGTCTCACTTACAGTTATTGTAGATCATCCAGTGCCGGAGCTTTGCTTGTCAGAACAGACCACAAGTCAACCATGGCCAGGGTCCGTGGGGGGGGGGGGAGTTGGGCTGCTGCAGGTATAAAATGTAGGCATCTAGAGTTCAAACCTCTTCCCCATGATAGAAAAATGTTTTTTTTATGCGAACTCTAGATGAGGGGTAGGCAGCGTAAGCACTCCGACCTGTGTCTGTCAGAGTTTTGCAATGCCTCATGGGATTTGTAGTTTACCCACAGCTGGAGTGCCAAGGTTGCCCACCCCTGCTCTAGATGTTCCAGGTAATAATAGTGCATGCATACTTACAAATCTGTGTGATCTTTGCTTTGTCCATATTTCATGATATCCATGATATCCCTGTTTCCCCGAAAATAAGACCTACCCCGAAAATAAGAACTACCCCGAAAATAGGACCTACCCCGAAAATAAGACCTACTCCGAAAATAAGACCTACCCCGAAAACCCCGAGGACAGAGTATGTTTGCTATAACTACAATCATGAATGAACAGGAGGGGATGTAGATAATTTCCCATTCATTCATAATTGGGGATATAGTGACTATACTCTGTCCTCAATTATGTACAAACACTCAGCGATCACCGATCACCGACTGCCTGTACCCGCTCTCCATCCTGACATGCTGTCACAGGAGGCTCAGCGTGCGGTGCGGGAGAAGAGCTCAGCCTCCTATGACAGCACTGGACTCTGTCTCTCCGCCCACACCACTGCTCTCCTGATCTGTGGCAGGAGGCTGAGCGGTGCAGGGACCACTCACAGCGCTCTCCTCCGGCAGCGCTCGGCCGTCTGTGACAGTTTATCTCCTCCCCGCTGGGACACAGAGCAGCGCCCAGCAGGGAGGAGAGAAAGAACGGATGCACCGCTATTTCGGGCAGAAAATGGCCCTTTCGACATTTTGCCAAAAGTGCCATTTTCGGCCGATATGTTTCGGCGGCCGATATATCGGTGCATCCCTACTTCTGAGCTGTGCAGCCAGCAGGGATGAAGCCAAGAGGCCATAGAGAATCTCAGGTCATGCACAGCATCTAGTAAACCTATTGATAGAGCCGCAAGACAGTTTTGCACGTAGACACGCATGCACTATTTTCATCTATCTTTATGTACAACTTTGTATTTTTCTCTTTTCAAGACCAAATAAAGAAGACGTTTCTCGAGAAGCTAATGGCTATAGATGTGACTGCAAGACACATTTGTTCTCCAGGTGAAGATACAGACACATATTTCGACTTTAACAAAGAGGAGTCCGATGTTTTTATGGATTCTGATGCCTACACTCCTCTGGATGTCTTGTGTGATGTTCTACATGACTCAGATACCCTCCTCCAACAAGAGATTGTCTCTAAAATGTCAATGTGCCAGTTTGCCATCCCCCTGCTGCTCCCTGCTGCTGACGGATCACACTACACCTTCATCCTGTGGGCAATGAGAGACATTGTGAAGAGGTGGAGACCACGGTCATTAGTGGACAGCACAGGGTTTAAAGAAGACAACTTAGTTGATATTGCAATGCCCGCTTTCTCCTTCGTCAGACTAGGGAAATGCAGCATATCAAAATCAAAGCTTCTAAATCAAGTTTTGAGCCCGCCTGAGTTCATTCACAATTATTTTGTCCATGGGGACATGCCTGGGGGAAATGTCCAACGCAAGCGCTCAGATGGTCTGGTGGAAATGTCTTGCTATTTTCCAGCAGGACACGGACACTCAGATATTTTCCCAGATCCTGTAACTGTCATTAACCTGAGAGGGGACCTCGAGTGTCATTTGAAACAGTTTAAATTATTGTCAAGCGTATCATTGGCTGTATTTGTGTTTATTGAGAGTATAAATGAGGAGCAATATAGCCTGTTATCGAATGTGGTAGGCCAAAACCCAAAGTTCTTCTTTATTGTGAACTTAAGAGGAGGGGGCAGTGATGCAGTTATTCTTGAATTCCTTAGACATTTGTCAACAACACATAACCTAAAGAAAGAAAACTTTATTGTTAAAAACAAGAGGGTCAATGACACACAAGTAGTCAAGAATTTACAATCAAAGTTAAAAGTACTGATAGCAAATACTCCGAAAGAGTCTACTCTAGAGGAAATAGCTGACAAAGCTATGGAATTAAAATTTGAGATTGATGAGAATTTTAAGGGATGTCAGGAAGCAAAAAATGCTGCAAAGGCGATCACAAGTAAGATAAAGAACGTTCTGGATTATAAAAAGCAAACAATGAAACTACAAGGTGATCTTTGGAAACAGCTTGCTAAATGCGAGAAGGAATTATGCAGAATGAGAAAACTAGAGGACAGAGACGTGGAAGAATACAGGTCACAGCTTCAGGGGGAAATTGCCGAGCTCCGTGAGCAGCAAAGTAAACAAGAACTGGCGTATGGTGTGGAGCAATTTCGGGAAGCCCTAAAAATGTTTACTCCAACAAAGCGGAAGGTTTTCCTGAAATGGCTGAAAATACAACTGGACAAAGTTGGGAGACGGCAGTTAGCATTGTTAAATAATGAATACCGGGAGCTGTTGACAGATGGGACTTCGAATGCAAACGACCTCATGGAAATCGATCAGAAAATAGCTGATAGTTCACTGGGTGTTGAACATTTTATCCGCGAGTTGGGGCAGTTTTATGAAGTAAAATATTCTGTAGGGAAACAAACAATATCGAAGAGTCTCCCAAAAATAGCTGCTGATATGTTGTTGGATGGGTTCCCACTGGAACTGATAGATGGAGATGCCTCCAACATACCCCTGCAGTGGATGACTGATGTCCTGAGTGAGCTAGAAGCCAAAACAGGCAGAAACTGCACAGTTAGAGTAATCACTGTCTTGGGAGTGCAAAGTACAGGCAAGTCCACCCTTCTGAACACTATGTTTGGTTTGCAGTTTCCTACATCCAGTGGACGTTGTACCAGAGGAGCCTTCATGACTCTCCTTGATGCAAAAAAGAGCTTTGAAGAGGATCTGGGCTGTGACTACGTTATGATCATTGACACTGAAGGTCTAAAATCCATGGAACTAGCTTCTCTTGAGGGCAGTTACGAACATGACAATGAATTGGCTACAGTAGTGGTTGGGTTGAGTGATATCACCATAATTAACATGGCCATGGAAAATACAGAAGAGATGAAAGACATACTACAAATCGTGATCCATGCCTTCCTTCGGATGAAGGAAGTAGGGAAGAAGTCCAGCTGCCAATTTGTGCATCAGAACGTGAGCGACGTGTCTGCTCATGTGAAAAACCGCAAGGCCAGAGAGAAATTTCTTGAACAGCTGGACGAAATGACCAAAGTATCTGCAAGGATGGAGAAAAAAGGTGGTATCACGGCCTTCTCCGACATCATACACTGCGACATCGAGAGTAACTCCTGGTATATTCCCGGCTTGTGGCATGGCATTCCACCTATGGCTTCCATTAACTATGGCTACAGTGAAAATGTTCAGGAGCTAAAAAAATCCATAGCTGGGTATCTAAAGACTATGCCAGGAAAGCCACAAAACATCATAGAGTTCACAGAGTGGATGAGAAGTTTGTGGAATGCAGTGAAACATGAAAAATTTGTCTTCAGTTTCAGAAACCGTTTGGTCACTGAGGCCTACAACCAACTTTGCATTGAGTACTCAGACTGGGAATGGAGATTCCAGAAAAAAAGTCACAACTGGATGATTAACACAGAAACTCAGATCTTTAACCTATCAGCTGATCGGTTGGGAACTGAAACCTGGGACAAGATTCAGAATGAGATGAACTCTTTATTGGACGGAGAAGAGCAGGTCATGGCTAGATCTCTAGAAAAATACTTCATGGAAGATTGTGATAATGCCCATCTTTTGGAGATGTTTAAAGGCGACTTTTTCCAAAGCATTAAGTATCTCAGGAAAAACCTTCAATTTGTTCTTCTTGGCAAATGCGATCGGACAATCCAAATTCAAAAAGAGAAATGCCAGATCCAAGCTCTGCAAGAGAGATATATCAGCATATTAGAAGAAAGAGTCTCCAACATTATGGACAAAATAAGAAAGGATCAGTATTTAGTCAATGCTGAACAGTTAAAGGAAGAATTTGAGACCATATGGGAGAAAGCAACGTCTACATTACCCAAGTTAAAACAAAAAAGGAACATTGACCTGGAAATCCTCCAACAGCTGAAACGTGACATGCAGTGTGATGACAGTATAGTTGTTCAGAAGCTAGATGATCTTACAAGTCTTAATCAATATAGAGGAGAGGGATTCCACATGAATGGCAAATATCTCCAAGGAGATAGCAGGGCAGAATGGGTTTTTGCAGACGGTCTAGCCTCCTCTGTACAGAGAAAATGTGCAGAGAAAGTATCAGAAATTGCCAATTCCCAGAAGGACTTTCATGAAATTTATTCTCTGGAACTGCTGAAAATGATAAATAAGGACCTCCGCGGACGTGACATTGAAAACCTTCGCACCACCAAACTGTTTGAGCTGGACCTTAAGCTTTGTGTTTTAGGAAAAGCGGCTGAGACATTTCAGAAGAGGCACGACGACTTTGTCCGGAGCAATGACCCACGGAGCTACCTGGAGGAGATGAAACCTCAGTACTTCTCCATGTTCAACAACATGTTTGAAAAAAGGAATGAATGTCAGAGAAGGGCGAAACAATTCTGCATGGTGTGTTTAAAACCAGCCATCCTGGACCACATCAACAGGCACCTGGGCAAAGAGATAGTGCATGATATTCTCCAGAAAAACGGCCCTCGGGAATTTAAGAGTCGGAAAATCCTACAACGGGAGGTGCTTGAAAGATTGCTTGTTAATGGCTCTTTGGACCAATATGTGGAATACGTCAACAACTACGAGGGTTTCATGAAAAGATGGATCTCACAATACCTCAGTGAGCATTATAAAGGCCAGGATACCATTTGTTTATTGCAAAAAGGTATTTTGCAATCTCTTATGGTAAAAATTGAACGAGCTCTTAATGATAAAAAAACTCTTCAAGCCAAGACTATATTGGACTACTTGGTTGGATTTTGTAACGTTTTGAAGAAGGAACTTGTCATTCCGCAGAACACTACAAAAGTTGTCATTTTCCAAAGTGATGTGATATATATTAAGCAGTTTGCACGCGATGTTGCGTTGTACCTACCTGACTTGGAAAAACTGATGGAACAAGACATCACCTCACTGAACACTGAAACAATATTTTTACAGTTGACGTTGAAACCTCAGGATGAATTGTTCAGGAAGGTGATGGGGTGTGGCAAGCAGTGCCCATTCTGTAAAGCTCCCTGTGAAGCTGTAGGAGAAGATCATAAAGAACATTTTGCATCTGTCCATAGGCCGAGAGGGCTGGCCCAACATGTCAATGAAGAAACAAATGCTCTCGACCATTCCATATGCTCCTCCAACGTCCTTTCTAACAAGAGTTTTAGGAATGCGGACACAGAAGGGAAACCCCACCCATACAAAGATTACCAGAAATATTACCCAGACTGGGCTATCTACCCCGACACAACTGCCGACGGCTCAGACTACTGGAAGCTTGTTTTTAAGGAGTTCAATCAGTCACTTGCTGAACTGTATAATGCCAATCCAGCCAACATTCCGCACGACTGGTACAAACTAACAAAGGACCAAGCTCTCAAGAGCCTGCAGAAAACATTATAGTGAGCCAAGAATAGATCAGTATATAATATAGATTAATCACTAATTGTCCAGTCTTAGAGTGTACGGCTGAGGACAGAGATATAGGAACTGGCATTTCTGGTAAAGACTCTACTTCTAATTGTCATCCTTGCTCTAGAACGAGCAGGGTGGGTGCAACCCGCCTCCCCATGCCATCCCGATTCTGCAGCCAACAAGTGAAGGTAGCCGGGTGCAATAGCCAGCCTGCTATTGGCTATTTCATATTGCAATAGCCAATAGCAGGTCCGCTCTTCTGCTCAGTGGGTGGGTGCAATAGCCAGCCTGCTGTTGGCTATTTCAAATTGCAATAGCCAATGGCAGGTCCGCTCCTCTGCTCAGTGGGTGGGTACAATAGCCAGCCTGCTATTGGCTGTTGCAATTTGAAATTGCCAACAAAAATGTACAAATTTTTAAAAAAGTTATAAAGCAACAAAAATTGAAAACCACTAAAAACAGCGAAATATGGGGAAATAAAGGGAATGTATGTTATTATCTCTTGTTAGTTATATCAATAAAACAATAAAACAGGTCAGCTTGATGTACGAATGCTAATATTTGAACAAGCTTGTACCATTTGGAATTCTATGTAATATACAGATAAGTATTATTGAGATGGACCCGACTCCCGGTTCTGTGAGGCAATTCTCAATCTGTCTATTTTAGGAAAACTTAAGTTTAGCAAATTCAGAATTGACGCGTTTTCTGTTCTAAGAATGCAGCAGAACCGGTTATTATATCCACCAAATGTGCGGGAACTTTAGCAGCCGAGGTCACATGACAGGAACCTGAGGTTCCGCACTGCTCTGCTGAGTACAGAAACCTCTGTGTGATGGAGAGATTCTACAAAGTATCAACAGAGAACAAGGAACCGAAAGAGGGAAAATTCCAAAGAATGACGCTTGATATTAAAGTGACACTAAAACTCCGGAGATAAATCTTATAAATCCCCCCCAGTCCCTGAACTCTGAACAGCAATGTATCTTATTTGTGTATCACTCGGATGTAGATCCTCCAATCATCTCTGACACTGTCCTTCCTTCTGGTCCAAGCTCACTCCCGGGATGGACTACAATCTCATGTTTAGTTTACTAATTCATATTGAGATTGTAATCCATCCCGGGAGTGAGCTTAGAGCGGTGACTACTTTACAACACACACAGGGACCATGGGGAACACAAGTAGCCACCCTCCAGAAGGAAGGACAGTGTCAGCACCAATTCAGAGATGATTTGAGGAGCCCGCCCCCCGGAATGGACTACAATCTCATGTTTAAAGGAGAACTATGAGGGGGGGTGCTTTTCACTCACCTCATAGTTATAGCCGACCTGTGACAATGAGACTGTCACAGGTCGGCTCAGTAGATCGGGAGGTGAGAGAACACAACCCGGCGTGCGCTCACCTCTGGATCCTGTCACGTCTCTCTGCCGTGACAGGGGAGAGGCTGGATTCCCCCCTCCCCGCTCCGATCCTCCAGCGCTGACTGGTGGAACGGACGGGGGAGGGGGCGGGTACAGCTGGCTCTGCCTCTAGATAGGCAGAGCCAGCTGTCACTCACGCAGCTGGGCGGATCCAGACATCGATGTCGGGATCCGCTCCGGCGTCTCAGTATACCGCGAGCTGTAGCTCCCTATATACTGAGCCTAGGGTGACGGGAGGACGCTAGTTTGTGTCCTCCCGTTACCCGAAGGAGAACTATGGGGAAAAGCCCTGACCCCATAGTTCTCCTTTCATTTACTAATTTGTAATATAGATTGTATGGAGACCCAATCATTGAATCTCATAGAAGCGTCAATGTGTTAAAGTAACTTAAACAGTCTTCAAATCCTCTTTTAACAACAATATTTACAATGTGCTTTTCTTTCATTTCAAACTTGTCTGGCCATATAGGAGAAGATCTCCCTAAAGTGAGACATATACCCCTTTAGACATTTATAACTGGAAAAGGTGTTCTTAAAGGAAGATTTCCCCCTCTATTGATGTTCTGCTGACAACTGTATCATTTTGCTTTCCTATCACTTACTATCTCAGTGGTAACGGTCAGCAGGACGATTAGAGAGGGTGAAAGAGAGCAATGAAAACCTGATAGGTTTAAGACTTCAATCGTCAATACTTCCTTAGTCTTACTATTAAAAAAAGTTTGGCCTTCGATATCCTTTAACCCACATTGGTAAAATAATTTAATAACCACATTCACATACTCTCTAAAAAACAAAAAATCACACATTCTAATATTTTGTTGGAGCGCCTTTAGCTTTGATTATGGCACACATGCGCTGTGGCATCATTTCCATAAGCTTATACATTGTCACAAGTAGGGATGCACCGATACCGATACTAGTATTGGTGCCGATACCAGTATTTGGGCGAGTACTCGTACCCCTTCCCCAATACCGAAAATCTTCCCCTGACCAGCAGTGCCATAGGGGAACATGGAGCCGGCTTCCCAGAGGCAACCAGGAAGGATGGCGAGTAAAGCCGACTTCATGCTGATTGGCTTGGAAGCCAGTTTCCCAGCCGATTAGCACCGAGCTTACCAAACAGCCGGCTCGATGCTGACTGGCCGGGAAGCCGGCTTTCCACCCAATCAGCATCGAGCCGGCTTCCAGATTGGCCGGGAGACCAGCTCAATGCTGATTGGCCGAGAAGACGGTTTCCGTTACATATTTTTTTTTTCTTCTTTCCTAAACATAAATGCTAAAGATTGCCTTAAAATGCACTATAATTGCAAGAAATAAGACTTCATAGCTACCAGCTGTGCGGAGTCTGCGTTGTACGTCGCCCTCTAGTGTCAGAAACGGGATATAACGGAGTTATTTCTAGCTCGGCTTTCACATTATTAACCAGTTGAGTTCCTGAGCCATTTTCACATTTATTATTATAATTCTTATTATACAGGATTTATGAGGCGCCAACAGTATGCGCAGCGCTTTACCATATAAGGAAGACATTACAATTGAAGACAAGATGGTAAGGAGGGCCC